GCCGCGCGGCCTCGACCGTACTTCGTGCCACTCCTGCAGCAGGTTCTTGGTCTTCCACCTTCTACTGGTCCTCCTCCTCCCTTAGAGTGTCCACAGCCTGTCTCGTCCCAGCTACAGTTGCAGCCTACCTCCCCTTTGCCTGCTCCTTCTCCCTACACTGGTCCTACTGGAGGTCTGGCTGAGCGTCGTGAGCCTGCGTCTCGCCCTACGTCGCCTGTCCGTGCTGCTCGCACTAGTGGTCGCGGTTCGCGTCAGCGTCCTCCTCCTGTCCCTGGCACGCACCGGATGTCTCTGCGTCCGTCCACTGCTCCTCTGCGTGCCCCTTTGCCTTCTCCTCCTGAGTCCTCTCTTCCTGCTCTTGCCGACCCGGAGTCGGACTCTCTTCGTGCTGCCAGTCCTACTGTCACGCGTCTCCTTGCTACTGTTGTCACTGACCCTTCTTTCGAGTCTACTGCTGCGTCTGCTCTAGTTACTGAGCTCGTCGACTTTGCTGCTCGCTGTCGCTTAGACTACGCTGCTAGTCTTGTCGCTGAGTTTGAGTCTGTCTGTCCTCCGTCCGTCGGGGGTGAGTGTGCCCTTGGCACGGACGTCCTTGAGGACAGGCAGGAGGAGTTCCAGTGTCTGGCAGCTGCCTCACCTCATCTCGTGTCCGTACTGCTTACCCCTGAGGGAGACCCGGATGCACTTGACATCCCGACTCCGCGCTCTTACGCGGAGGCGATAGAGGGTCCCTACTCCTCTCAGTGGCAGGCAGCTATGGATGCAGAGATGGCTTCCTGGAAGTCCACAGGCACCTACGTTGACGCTGTCCCCCCTCCTGGGGCGAACATCGTCAGTGGCATGTGGATCTTCAGGGTGAAGCGGCCGCCGGGTTCTCCGCCTGTCTTCAAGGCGCGTTACGTGGCTCGTGGCTTCAGTCAGCGGCAGGGAGTTGACTACTTTCAGACCTTCTCCCCCACCCCGAAGATGACCACTCTTCGGGTACTGCTGCACGTTGCTGCTCACCGTGACTACGAGCTGCACTCTCTTGACTTCAGCACAGCTTTCTTGCAGGGCAGCCTGCACGAGGAGATCTGGCTGCGTCGCCCACCTGGCTTCACTGGGTCTTTCCCTTCTGGTACCCAGTGGAGTCTCCGGCGTCCAGTCTACGGTCTCCGCCAGGCGCCACGTGAGTGGCACGACACACTGAGGACTACACTTGCGGCTCTTGGGTTTGCTCCTTCTACTGCCGACCCGTCGCTGTTTCTACGCACCAACACCTCTCTGCCGCCGTTCTACATCCTCGTGTACGTCGACGACTTGGTCTTTGCCACAGCTGACACTGCTGGACTCGCCTACGTGAAGTCCGAGCTGCAGAAGAGACACACGTGCACAGACCTAGGTGAACTGCGCAGCTACCTTGGCTTGCAGATCACCCGGGACAGAGCACGCCGCACCATTACCCTGACTCAGTCACACATGGTGCAGCAGGTCCTTCAGCGCTTCGGCTTCACGTACTCCTCGCCTCAGGCCACTCCTCTGTCTACTCGCCACTCGCTCTCAGCTCTGCCTTCGGATGAGTCCGTAGAGTCGAGTGGCCCGTACCCAGAGCTTGTTGGCTGCCTCATGTACCTGATGACCTGCACACGACCTGACCTTGCATACCCTCTTAGCATTCTGGCACGCTATGTTGCTCCTGGGAGACACAGACCAGAGCACATGGCTGCAGCGAAGAGGGTGTTGCGCTACTTGTGCAGTACGTCGGGCATGGGGCTAGTGCTTGGAGGGCGGAGTCCAGTGGTCCTCACTGGGCACGCGGACGCTTCTTGGGCTGACGACCAGGCTACGCAGCGGTCGTCACAGGGTTACACCTTCAGCCTTGGTTCCGGCTCTGTTTCGTGGCGGGCTACTCGCTCGTCTTCTGTTCTTGGCTCGAGTTGTGAGGCTGAGATCTACGCCGGGGCCATGGCTGCACAGGAGCTTCGCTGGCTCACCTACCTGCTGACCGACCTTGGAGAGCCGCCTCGTTCTCCTCCAGTCCTGTACGTAGACAACAAGGCCATGCTGGCCTTGTGTCGAGAGCAGCGACTGGAGCACAGAACAAAGCACATTGCTCTCCGCTACTTCCTTGCTCGTGAGCTACAGCAACGTGGTCAGTTGCGGCTTGCGTACGTGGCCTCTGAGGCCAACACTGCTGATGTCTTCACCAAGGCACTTCCACCTTGTGATCATCAGCGCTTCTGCACTCAGCTGGGTCTTGTGCCCGTCTTGCCTCACTTGCTCTCCTCTTGACCTTGCCTGTACTCTCACATATATATATACCTGCTCTTGCTTGTCTAGCTTTATATATATGTGTGTACTCTTGCATGTGAACTGGCCGTGTGGCCTTGACCCTGTGCTCGGACTGTGTGGTGACTTTGTGATCCACCCTGAGCTTGCTTTGCTTTACTTTGCTTGACTGGTCTTGTGACCCCTTGTTCTCCCCCACTTTGCCTATGGGGGTGTGTCAGAACATTATAGCTTATGCTGTTGTGTAGGCTATAGTGGGGTATCCCATAGGGGGTACAACCAATTAGGGTTTCATATTTGTACTCACTTCATTTCATAGTTCATTCATTCTTGTTCAAATCTTCTCATTTTTTCGGTTGATGCAATATATCAGTTTTACGTTATCTTATAGCACGTTATATTGTCGATGTTTCTTAGCCTAAACAAATCTACACAATGAATGTTTTTTATTTAAGAATCCAGCTTTTCTTCTACACTCTATTATAGGTAATGCGTGTGATAAATTGACTCGATTAGGTGGCACTTCGGGCTTCTGACTCTATTGAGCTTGTAAACGTTAAGACAATATACTGAAAAACGCATTGAAACCCTTGGTGTACGGTGTACAGCTCGGTTGAAATGTTGCGGTACCAGTCAGGGAATTCGCACACAGTTGATGGGTACCACGCAGGGAAGATGGGTACCACGGAGGGAAGATGGGTACCACGAAGGGGCGCGCATGATCTGACGGGTACCATCGAGCCACGTAGGTGACTTTTGACGTCAGCGGGCTCGATGTGAGTTACCCAGAAGGTAATTACCCGGCGGCAATCGACGACTCCTGAGGTGTCTGTATTTGTTTGTTTCTACGTTGGGAACATCAAACCACCGAGTCCCACCGAGTCACTCATCTGCTTCGAACCAAAATCCATCGAATCTCAACGTACCTAATCACTCTCAACCTGCTACACACGCGCTGTGGGCACTATTCTTTCTCAACACCCGAGCCGACGTTGTTCGCTCGCGTCGCGTCGCGGCTGTGTGCTTACTTATCACGTGCCTCTCCACTAGAGCTTCACACAAGAGTCCTACTGTACTAGACTCTTCAGGTTGGTTCGTTGTTGGATGAGCAGCAACTGATTTAGCTAGGAGCAACAACAGCAGAGAGGCTATCAACAGCAGCAAAACCAGCGCCAGCATCGAGACAGGATTATTTCAGTGTAAACTAAGTGCATCTCGCATTTGAGCTTGTCACGGCCCGTTCACTCCCTAAGCTTTTCCGATTCACACTCTTTCAGGGCTAGACTTTCAGAATCTTCGTCGTTTCCGGTCCACGTGGTGTCTGCTTTTGAGTGACTCAAAAGCAGACTTATTACACGCGATTCACACTCTTTCAGGTCTTGACGCTCAGAACCTTCGCCGTTTCCGGACCGCGTGGTGTCCTCGTGGGAAATTTTAGTTCCGGACGTCACTAAGATCAAAGTACAGGCCGCTAAGATGCAGCAACAGCTCTTGAGTCCGAAGCGCGCTCCCGAGCTCTTCGCCTTTGTGGGCGTCGCGTCGCTCTTATTGGTAGGGCTTCTATGTAGTTCGTATTTACAGCTCCTACCGCAAAACTGCTTCTGTCCAAACCTAGAGAATCCCGAGTTGTCCACCGCCGCCGCCGCCGCCGCCGCCACCACCACCGCTTCCGCCTCGTCTCTTTCCCGCGACCTCGCCAGCGCAAGACGCCATCTAGAAATCAGTGGAGTTTCCGCGACCCCTGCCACCGTTTCCGCCACCCCCGCCGCCGTTTCCGCAGCGGTAGTCTCGCAGGCCCTCCCTGCAGCGACTATCGGATCCGACGCCTCGTTTTCCGGCGGGAACGGCGGCGCCGGTGTGAGGGCCAATCAGGACGCAGCTGGCGACGGTAACAACCAACAATTTATTTACGTGTACGACACGCAATGGGCGTGGACGGAGCCTATGAAAGGACTCGATAGGGATTGGTACTCAGACCAATACGAGGTGGAAACTGTGCTGACGGAGCTACTAATGCGCACTAACGCGGTTCGCACGACGGATCCGGAAAAGGCGACGCTGTTTTACGTGCCCTAGTACGCGTCGAACCACATCTCGCATGTGAACAAGATTATGAAGAACATGATGCAGACGGCGGTCGGGGAGGTCTCTAAGGTGAGCTGTGAGTTCGCTTACATCGAGTCCGTTCGCGGCGTACTAGTACGCGTCGAACCACATCTCGCATGTGAACAAGATCATGAAGAACATGATGCAGACGGCGGTCGCGGAGGTCTCTAAGGTGAGCTGTGAGTTCGCTTACATCGAGTCCGTTCGCGGCGTACTAGTACGCGTCGAACCACATCTCGCATGTGAACAAGATCATGAAGAACATGATGCAGACGGCGGTCGCGGAGGTCTCTAAGGTGAGCTGTGAGTTCGCTTACATCGAGTCCGTTCGCGGCGTACTAGTACGCGTCGAACCACATCTCGCATGTGAACAAGATCATGAAGAACATGATGCAGACGGCGGTCGCGGAGGTCTCTAAGGTGAGCTGTGAGTTCGCTTACATCGAGTCCGTTCGCGGCGTACTAGTACGCGTCGAACCACATCTCGCATGTGAACAAGATCATGAAGAACATGATGCAGACGGCGGTCGCGGAGGTCTCTAAGGTGAGCTGTGAGTTCGCTTACATCGAGTCCGTTCGCGGCGTACTAGTACGCGTCGAACCACATCTCGCATGTGAACAAGATCATGAAGAACATGATGCAGACGGCGGTCGCGGAGGTGTCTAAGGTGAGATGCGCGTCTGCTTGTATCGAGTCGTAATTACTCCCTCCCTCGCCTCTCGCCCCTCGCCCCTCGCCCCAAACCCCGACTCTTCTCCGTTTCCGCACTCATCTACATTCGCACTCCCCGTATCCCTTTTCCGCCTATCCTCCGGTCGCCTCCCCCCTTTTCCCCCACCCCCGCCCTCGTCCTCCAATTCCCTCGCTCCCATTTCCCCCTCCCATCCCCTCTCCTCCCCACCCGCCTTCTCCCCCTCCCCAACCGCCTTCTCCCCCTCCCCACCCGCCTTCTCCCCCTCCCCGCGCGTCTTCTCCCCCTCCCCACACCTTCGCCCTCCCCTCCCCACGCCCTTCGCACGCAGACGTGGCACGACATTCTCACCATGATTCGCCGCGACTTCCCCTACTTCAACCGCACCAACGGCCGAGATCACTTCAGCACGAGCACGTTCGATCACGGCCGTTGCCACGCGCTGACGTGGGTCATCCCGGATCTGTACGGCGAGATGTTCTTCGTGATGCTCAACGGGGACCGCCTCGCGCGCACCATGCACGCGTCTGTCGAGCGCAATTTGCAGGTAGGGAGCGCAATTTGCAGGTAGGGAGCGCAATTTGCAGGTAGGGAGCGCAACTTGCAGGTAGAGAGGGAGCAGTGCTGAGCCGAGAAACGCCCAGGTAGGATCTTTCCCCTCGTCTGCTCAACGGGGACCGCCTCGCGCGCACCATGCACGCTTCTGTGCAGAGGAACGTGCAGGAGCGTGCGAGCCGGCACGTGTAGGTGGGAGGTTGGGAACGTGCAGGAGCGTGCGAGCCGGCGTGTGTGCTGAGGGGAGGGAAGGTGCAGGTAGGGAGGGAGAAGCGCAGAGGAGCTTATACCAATCTCTTAATGACGATGGAATGTGCTGGTATGGTGGGAAGGTGCAGATAGGGAGGGAACATGAGGGTAGGCCCACTCATAAGCCCCGCCCACCCCCAACCCCTCTCCCCCCACCCCTAGTCCCTCTCCCCCCACCCCTAGTCCCTCTCCCCCCACCCCTAGTCCCTCTCCCGCCTACGCCACCCCCCCTTCCTCCGAATACAGATTGTTGGATACAACTCCAAAGACTCTTGACTCGACTCAAGAGTTGACTACAACGACTCTTGAGTCGACCCAAAAGTGAACCACAATGACTCCCCACTATGACACCCGCAGTTCCCCGACATCCCATAAGCTAATCTCTCCACCCCCCCCCCAACCCTTACCCCCCCTCCTTCCCCAACCCTTACCCCCCCTCCTTCCCCAACCCTTAACCCCCCTCCTTCCCCACCCCCCTTAACCCCCTCCTTGGCGCGAGCAGATCATAGGATACAACTACATTGATGCGCCGCTGCAGCCGCAGTTCCCTGACGTCCCATGCTACATGCCCGACCGAGACATTGTCGTCCCTGCCTTTATTGGCGACCAGGTGGGTGGGTGGTGACGGAAGTTTTCTGTTTGTTTGTTTGTGTGTGTGTGTGTGTGTGTGTGTGTGTGTGTGTGTGTGTGTGTGTGTGTGTGTGTGTGTGTGTGTGTGTCTGTGCATGTGTGTGCGTGTGTGTGTGTCTGTGTGCGCGCACGCGCGCGCGTGTGTGTGTGCGCACGCGTGCGCGCGTGTGTGTGTGCGTGTGTGTGTGTTTTAATCTCTCCGCTGCTTCTGTCATGCCTACCCCCCCCACCTGCCCATCCCCCCACTTGCCCACCCCCCCACCTGCCCACCCCCCGACTTGCCCACCCCCCGACTTGCCCACCCCCCGACTTGCCCACCCCCCGACTTGCCCACCTCCCCACCTGCCCACCCCACCAGGTGCCCATGGTGTCGCTCTTCACTGGCGATCGCCCCATGCGAGCCATCTTCCGCCTCCCCCTGCTGCCCACACGTGCCTGCCAAGCTCCCCCTCAATTCCCTGTCTCCCCACACGTCCCACGCCCAACCCCCTCAGATACCCATGGTGTCGCCCTTCACTGGCGATCGCCCCATGCGAGCCATCTTCCGCTTCTCAGCCCATCAGGGTCACAACGCGCCCCTCATGCACCACGGCCACGACCTGCGCCCCGAGCTGCTCGCTGTGCGTGTTTGGGGGGGGAAATGGGGAGGAGAATGGGGAGGGTGGGGGAGGTTGGGGGAGTTGGGGCTGTGGGCTGAGTGGTGGGCTGACCAGCCGGCCCACAGGGTGCCCCTCATGCACCACGGCCACGACCGGCGCCCCGAGCTGCTCAGTGTCTGCGCGGGGGAGGGGTTTGGGGGTTTGAGGGTATGGGGTACCAGCCGGCCCACAGGGCGCCCCTCATGCACCACGGCCACGACCGGCGCCCCGAGCTGCTCGCTGCGCGTGTGTGGGGGACAGGTGGGGCGTGGGGAGTGGGATTGAGCTGATGGGGTTGGGGGTGTGGGGGTGGAGTGGGGAGCGAGAACTGAAAGGCTTGGGGAAGGGGGTGGTGAGATGCCGCCGCTCTTGGAGTCGACTTGAAAATCCCCACCTCACCCCTTCACTCCGTTTTTTGAGGCGCCTCCGAAGGGGGTGGCGAGATGCCGCCGCCGCTCTTGGAGTCGACTTAAAAATCCCCACCTCACTCACCCTTCCCCTTCACTCCCCTCCCCTCCCCCCGCCCCCACCCCACACATGCAGATGTATGCGAAGCAGCGCATCAAGGGGTGGAGCTTTGCAGCCAAGCTGGAGACCCAGACGAACAAGGAGCTTCCCCTAACGCCAGCTCAAAGGTCCCCTCTCTCTCTCTCTCTCTCTCTCTCTCTCTCTCTCTCTCTCTCTCTCTCTCTCTCTCTCTCTCTCTCTCTCTCTCTCTCTCTCTCTCCCCCCTGAATCCCCCCCACACACACGCCTGCAGATGTATGCGAAGCAGCGCATCAAGGGGTGGAGCTTTGCAGCCAAGCTGGAGAACCAGACGAGCAAGGATTGGCAAAAAGCTGTCTTCTGCATCTGCCCGCCCGGCCACTCCCAGTGGACCAGCCGGCCCTTCAAGGTGCGAGTGGGGGTGGGTCATTCCAGTCAATCAAGTCAATGCCACTCCCAGTAGGCCAGCTGCCCCTTCCAGGTGAGGGGGCAGTCTCGGTTTCAGAAGCCCGATTTTGGGACAAGGATATGCACTTTGAAGGGGCTGCCCCCTCAAGGTGAGGGGCGCGGACTGTCAAGTCACTCAGGCCAACCAGTCCAGTCAAGCCACTCTGAATGGATCGGCCATTTTCAAGATGAGGGGCAAGATCAATCGGGTCAATTGGGTTGGTTCAATAAAGTAAATCAAGTCAGGATATTATTCTGATTAAAAAAAAGAAAATATCCTTACCAGCTCTTTCCATCCTCCTAGCCCACCACTCCTGATGGATAGGGGTGTGCACTACACGTGTGTGTGGCTGTCCTTAGAAGCTGCAGCAGCACGTGTGGTGTGATGGGATCCACTTTTGAAGTGTCTCCAAGACCAGGTTGGGCTTGTTCTAGTCCCAATAGGCTCCAATGTGCCTTAAACGAAAGTTGGAGTGCACAGACGGATTTTTTGCAGAGCAGCTTCAAACCTTGAAATCGCGCTGGTCGCAGAACGAAATGACGTGCTATACTTTGGATCTGGAGCGTTTTGATGTCGTCTACAATCAGCAAGTTGAATAGTTAATTAGAAGTTGAATCACTCGATTTTGAGTCACTCACCTTGAAAAATTGGTAGCGCCGCAATGTGTCGCGCTATTAACGTCAAGCTGGTGGTTAGTTAGGCGTGCTACATTTTCCTTTTATAACTTTGTTTCGTTTGTGTGCTCCGAAGTGTCGCCTTATTTCCGGACTCGAGGTTGTTTGGGGAAAACCGAGGAGGTTGGTAGGAAGCACCCGAGTTGTTCGGGGAAAACCGAGGAAGTTGGTAGGAAGCACCCGAGTTGTTCGGGGAAAACCGAGAAGGTTGGTAGGAAGCACCCGAGTTGTTCAGGGAAAACCGAGGAGGTTGGTAGGAAGCACCCGAGTTGTTCGGGGAATTCATTTTCATTTAGGTCAGGCCAAGTGCTATCAGCTTCTTTTCCCCCCATCCCTTCCCTACTCTCCTCTTCCCCCACCACAGGCGCTCATCTCGGGGTGCATCCCAGTGACGTTCTTTCGAGACCACGACAATCCCTGGGGTGACGAGCTGGACTACTCCTCCTTCTCCATCAACATCGATCCCGACGACATTGCTTCGATGCGCTACCGCCTCGAGACCGCCCCCGTGGAGCAGCTGCAGCGTGGCGTGGAGAGAGTGCAGGTGGGTGCAGTTCGGTGGAACAGGGTTTGGAATGGGTGGAGTGCGGTGAAATGGGTGCAGTCCGGTTGAGTGGGTGGAGTGCGATGGTGAATGGATGCAGTGCGGTTGAGTGGGGTGGAGTGCTGTAGAATGGTTGCAGTGCGGCGGAGTGGGTTCGGTGGGTTGGAATGGTCCTGGACATTCACATGGGGGGCAGGTATGAGCTTATAACGAGGTCTTGGCTTGAAGGGGTTTCTGCTCTATTGTGACCTTTCATCCCTACTTTCCGCACCTCCCTCTCTCTCCCCCCCTGGTGCTGCCAGTACATGTTCTAGTGGTCGTGGATGAAAGCTCATATGGGTTGGAGAGGACGAGCGTACCATATAAGGAGCTCCCACCTATGAGCTTTCACAGCACTGATGTCATTCCCACTTCCTTTCCCCCCACTTCCTTTCCCTTCACTTCCTTCCCCTCACTTCCTTTCCCTTCACTTCCTTCCCCTCACTTCCTTCCCCTCGCTTCCTTCCCCTCTCGTTTTCTTTCCCCCTCTCTCCCCCCTTGATGCCACCAGCACATGTTCAAGTGGTCGAGAACACCCACACAAGGGGCATGGTACCGTATCAGCTTTTGAAGAGACTTTTTAGGCGCCTTAAAACCCCCTCACTTCCTTTCCCCCTCATCTCCTCCCCTCTTCTCTCCCACCTTGATGCCACCAGCACATGTTCAAGTGTTCGAGAACGCTCACACAAGGGGCAGGGTATGAGCTTTTGAAGAGACTAAGGCAGCGCGGGGAGCAAATCTCCTCGACTGCTCTCTTCCTATAACAGGCATTTCATATAGCGAAGAACAAGGGATGGTACAAGCTGCCTCATTGTTCTAGTAATAAAGAAATCGCATCTGCTGTGTAACAGATGTTTTTGTAAAGTTACTCTTTGCTTAACGTAACCCCCCTGATTAAAGACCTCCCGGAATAGAAGACCCCAAAATCTGTAATGCGGGGGTGGGTCAATTGATTTTGGCAGGCTTCAGGTGAAAGCACTATAAAGACCCCCCCCCCCCCCCACCCCCCCCCCCCCCCCCCCCCTCCTCCTTTCTACAGAATTGTTGAAAACCTACCAGTACCATAGCATACAGCACCATTGTTTAACGAATTAGAGCTCTTGCTGGAGAAAAACGACGGAGATTGCTTGATTCCTGAAATTACTACGGTAAAATAATAGTACACGCACCCTGAATCTGCCTGGGAAACCACCTGTAGGACATGAATGTATGGAAATGTGGGCTCTGGGAGTGCTTGCTGCAGTGTATAAGAGTATGAGAAGGGACTAGCCGTAGCATCACTTAAGAGCAAAAGGGTGTTTGATTCTGTAACACTCAGACCAGGTGCTCACTTGGGATTCTCAACAGCATATTACATACATAAGAGGGTTAAAAGAGGGTTAAAATACCACCTTTCAATTCAATGGTTGGGGGGGATAGAGCTAGCAAGACAAGTGCCCCACCAATGTTTCTGCAGTAAAAAAGCTTCTCTTGAGAGAAACGATGCGGGTCCGAGCCAAGCTTACCGTAGATGGAATTTCTTGCTAAGAGATACATCAAGAAGCAGAGTGCTTGCAAACCAGATGGAATTTCTTCTGACTACAATACAAAAACCACCTTCTACCATCACTCTTTTTTTCATCTCAAGCACGCTTGCTATAGGAAGAGAGCGGTGGAGGAGATTTGTTTCCCTCGCTGCCTTAGCCTCTTTAAAAGCTCGTACTCCGCTCCCCACGTGTGTGTCCGCGACCACTTAAACATGTTCTGATGGCATTAGAGGGAGAGGGGGCAAACGGAAGGGGGGAAGGAAGGGGCGGTTTCATGTCAAGTCTTCATTACAAGCTACCCTCCCCCCCATGTGTGTGTCCGTGACCACTTTAACATGTTCTGATGGCATACAAGGGAGAGAGGGGAAAAGGCCAGGAGGGAAAGTGGGCGTCTCATGTGTGTGTGCGCGTCTCATGTCTTGACACACATGTCAAGACCTCTTCCTAAGCACCTGCTCTGCCCCGCACGTGTGTGTGCGCGTGCAACCACCTGAACATCTACCAATGGCATCCAGGGGAAAGATTGGGCATTGCAGAAAAGAAGGGATGGGGGGTCACATGAGGGAAGGAGCACCGCTATGCCATGACCTCTTCACAAGCCCATACTCCGCCCTCCATGAGTTAACTTTTTGAGTCGACTCAAAAGTCACCTTATATGCCATGACCTCTTCACAAGCCCATACTCCGCCCTCCATGAGTTGACTTTTGAGTCGACTCAAAAGTCACCTTATATGCCATGACCTCTTCACAAGCCCATACTCCGCCCTCCATGAGTTGACTTTTGAGTCGACTCAAAAGTCACCTTATATGCCATGACCTCTTCACAAGCCCATACTCCGCCCTCCATGAGTTGACTTTTGAGTCGACTCAAAAGTCACCTTATATGCCATGACCTCTTCACAAGGCCATACTCCGCCCTCCATGAGTGTGTGCGTGACCACTTAAACATGTACTGATGGTATGAAGGGAGGGAGAATGGAAGGGGGAGGGAGGGAGAGGCAGGATCATGTCAAGACCTTTTTACAAGCACTCTATTGTGCCCACGCGTAAGTCTAAGGTCGCAAATGTATTGAAAGGAAAGAGGGGGAGAGCAGGAAAAGAAAAGGGGAGACATCAGGAACGAAGCGGAAGAGCCCTGGAAGAGGGAAGGAGGGGTGGGGGTGGCGAGCGTAAGGAGGCAAGGGAGAGAGGCATGAGCCGAGTCAGTCTTGACGAGCTGGAGGTGTTTTTGTCATGAACAAGTATATGTTTTAGTCGACTAAAAAATAGACTCATCATCACACACGGTGAGCCGAAGGAGGCGAGGGATATTATTTTTTGTGCATGTCTGTACCCTGCCTGAATCGATACAAAGGACCGTCTGAGAGGCATGAGCCGAGTCAGTCCTGCCAAACTGGAGGTGTTCGTCTTGAACGAGCTTGCGAACGAAGTAATGGCGAGACGCGATATGCTTGGAACACCCATGTAACACAGCATGCTGGGTGAGGTGAATGGTGCTGGCATCGAGATATCAAATGGTGGGACTCCGCATTGAAACACCAAGTTCCTCAAGGAGGAAGGTGAACCGTTGCTTTTGAGTCGACTCAAAAGCATTGAAACACCAAGTTCCTCAAGGAGGAAGGTGAACCGTTGCTTTTGAGTCGACTCAAAAGCATTGAAACACCAAGTTCCTCAAGGAGGAAGGTGAACCGTTGCTTTTGAGTCGACTCAAAAGCATTGAAACACCAAGTTCCTCAAGGAGGAAGGTGAACCGTTGCTTTTGAGTCGACTCAAAAGCATTGAAACACCAAGTTCCTCAAGGAGGAAGGTGAACCGTTGCTTTTGAGTCGACTCAAAAGCATTGAAACACCAAGTTCCTCAAGGAGGAAGGTGAACCGTTGCTTTTGAGTCGACTCAAAAGCATTGAAACACCAAGTTCCTCAAGGAGGAAGGTGAACCGTTGCTTGTGAGTCGACTCAAAAGCATTGAAACACCAAGTTCCTCAAGGAGGAAGGTGAACCGTTGCTTTTGAGTCGACTCAAAAGCATTGAAACACCAAGTTCCTCAAGGAGGAAGGTGAACCGTTGCTTTTGAGTCGACTCAAAAGCATTGAAACACCAAGTTCCTCAAGGAGGAAGGTGAACCGTTGCTTTTGAGTCGACTCAAAAGCATTGAAACACCAAGTTCCTCAAGGAGGAAGGTGAACCGTTGCTTTTGAGTCGACTCAAAAGCATTGAAACACCAAGTTCCTCAAGGAGGAAGGTGAACCGTTGCTTTTGAGTCGACTCAAAAGCATTGAAACACCAAGTTCCTCAAGGAGGAAGGTGAACCGTTGCTTTTGAGTCGACTCAAAAGCATTGAAACACCAAGTTCCTCAAGGAGGAAGGTGAACCGTTGCTTTTGAGTCGACTCAAAAGCATTGAAACACCAAGTTCCTCAAGGAGGAAGGTGAACCGTTGCTTTTGAGTCGACTCAAAAGCATTGAAACACCAAGTTCCTCAAGGAGGAAGGTGAACCGTTGCTTTTGAGTCGACTCAAAAGCATTGAAACACCAAGTTCCTCAAGGAGGAAGGTGAACCGTTGCTTGTGAGTCGACTCAAAAGCATTGAAACACCAAGTTCCTCAAGGAGGAAGGTGAACCGTTGCTTTTGAGTCGACTCAAAAGCATTGAAACACCAAGTTCCTCAAGGAGGAAGGTGAACCGTTGCTTTTGAGTCGACTCAAAAGCATTGAAACACCAAGTTCCTCAAGGAGGAAGGTGAACCGTTGCTTGTGAGTCGACTCAAAAGCATTGAAACACCAAGTTCCTCAAGGAGGAAGGTGAACCGTTGCTTTTGAGTCGACTCAAAAGCATTGAAACACCAAGTTCCTCAAGGAGGAAGGTGAACCGTTGCTTTTGAGTCGACTCAAAAGCATTGAAACACCAAGTTCCTCAAGGAGGAAGGTGAACCGTTGCTTTTGAGTCGACTCAAAAGCATTGAAACACCAAGTTCCTCAAGGAGGAAGGTGAACCGTTGCTTTTGAGTCGACTCAAAAGCATTGAAACACCAAGTTCCTCAAGGAGGAAGGTGAACCGTTGCTTTTGAGTCGACTCAAAAGCATTGAAACACCAAGTTCCTCAAGGAGGAAGGTGAACCGTTGCTTTTGAGTCGACTCAAAAGCATTGAAACACCAAGTTCCTCAAGGAGGAAGGTGAACCGTTGCTTTTGAGTCGACTCAAAAGCATTGAAACACCAAGTTCCTCAAGGAGGAAGGTGAACCGTTGCTTTTGAGTCGACTCAAAAGCATTGAAACACCAAGTTCCTCAAGGAGGAAGGTGAACCGTTGCTTTTGAGTCGACTCAAAAGCATTGAAACACCAAGTTCCTCAAGGAGGAAGGTGAACCGTTGCTTTTGAGTCGACTCAAAAGCATTGAAACACCAAGTTCCTCAAGGAGGAAGGTGAACCGTTGCTTGTGAGTCGACTCAAAAGCATTGAAACACCAAGTTCCTCAAGGAGGAAGGTGAACCGTTGCTTTTGAGTCGACTCAAAAGCATTGAAACACCAAGTTCCTCAAGGAGGAAGGTGAACCGTTGCTTTTGAGTCGACTCAAAAGCATTGAAACACCAAGTTCCTCAAGGAGGAAGGTGAACCGTTGCTTTTGAGTCGACTCAAAAGCATTGAAACACCAAGTTCCTCAAGGAGGAAGGTGAACCGTTGCTTGTGAGTCGACTCAAAAGCATTGAAACACCAAGTTCCTCAAGGAGGAAGGTGAACCGTTGCTTTTGAGTCGACTCAAAAGCATTGAAACACCAAGTTCCTCAAGGAGGAAGGTGAACCGTTGCTTTTGAGTCGACTCAAAAGCATTGAAACACCAAGTTCCTCAAGGAGGAAGGTGAACCGTTGCTTTTGAGTCGACTCAAAAGCATTGAAACACCAAGTTCCTCAAGGAGGAAGGTGAACCGTTGCTTTTGAGTCGACTCAAAAGCATTGAAACACCAAGTTCCTCAAGGAGGAA